TCGTTATTATTACTTTACCCTTTGTTATAGAAAACTAACAACTTGTCAAGTGCTCTATAATAAGTCTGACATTTATATATTTTGTGTAGAGGTCTAAAACTCAATCTACAGTTACTAACTTTTATATTTAGTGGAGGTTTAAAACTCAATATGCACTTACTAACTTTTATATTCAATGGAGGTCTAAAATCCCATCTGCAATTAGTAGCTTTTATATTTTGTGGAGGTCTAAAACCCCATATGTTATCTTATAACTATCTCTAAACCCTTATAATAGGTAGTTTATATTTAACACACTTTAAATTTGATTTGATGATATTTAACTCATTTTTTCTCTTTTTCATTTTTTTCCCTTTTCCCTAACGCTAACTATAATTGTCATTTTATGAATTTATTTATATATAATTCAACTTCTTTCATAAATTTCACATCATTCTCAAATATTTATGCATATCTTTCAAATAGCTAAATGTTTTTTTTTGTTCATCACTCTACTTGTCATTATTTTGTTTCTCATTTATATTATCAAGCACGAAGAACTAGGTAAAGATTATGTAGCATATGATATTTATTGTTTTACTATTATTAGTCTTATCTTAGTTTATTAATATATGTTTTTGAATAAAACATGATCATGGTTTTTGTAATCGTTGTTGTTGAATAAATTGATATATATATTTTTTGTTTATGTATTAAATATTGATTCTGTTCATCTGAATTCTAGATATTATCATGTCAAACGTTTGACATCAGTTTAAAATTTTAAGCATAATTGGAGACAATTTGAAATAACAGCTTAATGAGTATCTTGCATGTGAGGGACTCGACAAAATACTTGAAGAAGAAAATTCGGGAAAACAATAGTTGACCCATTAGAAATGGCAATGAAAAAATTGAAAGTAAATCGAATTATCAAACGCCACCTTGATGATGGATTACAAACAAAATATTCAAATGCAAAAAATCTCAAGGTTTTAGGGGAAAAACTTAGAGTAAGATTTGGACATTAGAGGAAAGTCTTGTTTCCCTCATTGCATGTGAAATCATGAATGAAAATGATGATTTCGAACCAAAAAAATTTTTTAACATTATTTTTTAAATCGGTTGGAACGATACCTGATTTAAAAACCCTTTTAATAATTTTTTTCAATTTTTTACATCGGTGGATTAATTGACCCGATGTAAAAGATCTAATAAATTTTCTTTTTATTATTTACGATACTGCCACCGTGTTTATAATTTCACATTTTACATCGCTTCGAGTGAATACCCGATGTAAAATCATTTTCCCAAAAGTCTTTTTTCTAGTAGTGTAGACATGATTGAAAAAATTGGAAGGATGCAATAGATACTTAATTATATTCTCTTAAAAATAAAAAAAAAGTATTTAGCCTCATTAAAGTTATACCAAAAGATGTGAAACCGGTTGGGTATAAGTGAGTCTTTGTAAGAAAACGAAATGAAAAAAATTAGATTGTCAAATATAAGGCACGCCTTGTTTTGCACAGGGTTTTTACCAAAGGCCAAGAATTAATTATGAGGTAACTTATTCTCCTGTTATGGATGTCATTACTTTTTGTTATTTAATTGGTTTATCAGTATTTAATAATTATGATATGTATCTTATGGATGTTGTTACTACTTATTTGAATAGATCACTTGATATTGATATATACATGAAAATCTTAGAAGGATTTAAAATGCCTAGGACATCAAACTTAGAGAAATATATGCAATTAAGTTGTAAAGATCATTGTATGAGTTAAAACAATCCAGACGCATGTGGTAATAGGATAAGTGAATACTTACTTAAATAATGCTATGAAAATAATTTTATTTACCCTTGTGTTTTTATAAGAAAAACAATATCAGGTTTTGTAATATTTGTTGTCTATGTTGACGATTTAAATACCATTAGAACTAATAGAGAAATTAAGGAAACATGAGATTATTTAAAGAAATAATTTGAAATGAAATATATGGAAAAAAACCAAGTTCTGCCTTGGTTTACAAATTGAGTATACTAAAAATGGTATATTTGTACATCAATCAAATTATACATAAAAGATATTGAAAAGGTTTAACATGGACAAAGCAAACTCTTTAAGTAGTCTAATGATGGGTAGAACCGTTAACGTTAAAAATGATCCATTTAGACCTAAGGAAGGTAATGAAGAAGATCTTGACTCTGAAGTACCATACCCCAGTGTCATTGGGGCACTCATGTACCTTGTTAACTATACAAGACCTAATATAGCTTTTACGGTTAATTTACTAGTAAGATTCAGTTCATGTCTAACATAAAGACATAATAAAGCATATATTTCGATATCTTTTAGGTACATCTGACCTTAGTTTATTTTATTCTAACAATATAAAATCAGTTTTACTTGGTTATGCAGATGCATGATATTTGTCAAATCCACATAGTGTTAAATCACAAACTGAATATGTATTTACATATGGTAACACTACAATATCATGGAGATCACAAAAGCAAACATTTGTAGCAACTTCTTCAGATCATGCTGAATTAATTGCCCTTTATGAAGCAAGTAAAGAATGTATATGGTTACGATCAGTAACTCGACATATCCAAGGAGCATCTGGTTTACCAATTGATAATAATCCAACAATTTTGTATTAAGACAATGTTGTCTGTGTTACCCAGATGAAAGAAGGTTACATCAAAACCATAGAACCAAGCATGTCCCTCCAAAATTCTTCTCACTCACACAAGAACTCAAAAGAAATAAAAAGGTTAATATTCAATATATTCATTCAAGTAATAATATGGCAGATCTTTTCACAAAGGTGCTTCCTACATTAAGTTTCAAGAAGCATATACAAAATATTGGAATGTCTCACCTTCAAAATCTTTAAAGAAGAACGAAATGTGTTAGGTTGATGGAGACATCATGTTGTACTCTTTTTACCTTATTAAGGTTTTTATCCAATGAATTTTTTCTAATAAGGTTTTTAACGGGTAATATATAGTCTCATAATTTTCTTTTTAATAAAATTTCGATGGAGTACCCTAATAGACAGTGGCGGAGCCAGAAAATTTTTGAAGCCTGGGGAAAAATTTAAAGACAATAAATTCATATTGTATATATAAATAGTTATTAATCAAAATAAAATATTTTTAATTTAATTTATTTTGACAGAATTTTAAAACTAACATAGCCATATCCAATTTGAGGTTGATACTAACATGGAATATCATTTCATGTGATTCATAATAATTCTTGAAATTAGCAACAAGTTAACAACATAATTTTATTTACTAACTAATGTAACTACAAACTAAATTTAAAATACAAATTCCTAGTTAACATCAATTGAACCATATGATTTAGAGTGAACATAAATTGAAGAATTTGACCTAATATATTTTTTATATTATTTGAGGATAAAACTTATTCTTTTCTTCTTCTTTTTTACAACACTATACATGTTTTTTTTATAATTTTAGTAGCTGCTACTTTTATGTTAAATTTTATTTTTTCAAGTATTCATTTTTTGTTTTTGGTTAATTTGGTCATAAATAGCAACTTTATTTTAATTTTGCACTTTTTGTAATGTAGTTGAATCTAAATATTATCATATAAAAAAAATTAATATAATGTATGCTTAATTGCATAAAAAAGGAAAATAAATTATGTTTTATTTGTGAAAAATGTTTAAATTACAGCGGTTACAACTGCCATTATCAACGACAAAAAACCGCCATATATTATGACATGAGAAATTTTATTCAAAAGTTTCGTTAATTGTGGCGGTTTTAACCGCCATAACAGCACTTATTAACCGCCACAATTTTCATATTCTTTTATAAAAGAAGACAAAATTTTGGGGCCGAGCCCGGGAAGACCAGCCTGACCGGGCCTTAAAACCGCCCATGCTAATAGATATTTTAAAGGGGAAGTATTATGATATTATTATTATTATACTATTATTAATTAGAAATATATATATATATATATATATATATATATATATATATATATATATATATATATATATATATATATATATATATATATATATATATATATTAATAGTAATGACCGATGCATAATTTATCAGAGGTAAAATAATAAGTCCAATTATTACACTAATAATATAAATACTCCATTTTTGGTTAATGTAAAAATCCATCAATTTTACCTTAAAAGGCATAAATAAAGTATTTTACTTTCTTCAATCTTTTTTATCTAAATTTAATATTTACAATTGTCATTATATTAGTTTATAAATATTATTAAAAAAAATATTCAAATTCGATTTTTATCATCAATATATATATGAACTTTACTATATTAGTCTTCTCAAATCAACCTTTATTTCTGTGTGATCTTGTTGAAGAAAAAACAATGTTCTACAACAAAATATCAGGCATTTCTTAAGAATATCTCAGCATAATAGAAGAAAGTTGTGGTCTCATGACATGGCATATTCTTATCATCGAACCATCCAAGTCAAACCACCCATTTTCAGAACAAGAAAGAAATTGCATTTTCATGCACACAAGCACAACACAAACAAACAACTACTTCAGTTAGAACCACAAAACACATAATTATCTTCTTGGTCTCCAAATCTTCCCCACCAATCGTAGTCAAATTTTATTTTCTTTTCTAATTTTGTTCCTTTCCTATCCCCCAAGTGGTTTGAAACTTTTTTGTTACAAATAAAATAATGATAGACAAAGACAAGTGCAAGTGTCCCTCCTTTTTTAGTTGGTGCCCACACAAAAATTAATACGTTTTTGATGGAAGGATAAAATGATTATTTAATCATAGTTTTTCTCTTCATTTTTTTATTAAAAAAAGTTATTGAATAATTTATTCACCCTTTTGTCTCAACTTGCAAGTGGGAGAACCATTGAATTGAACTCTCTAAAGATTCATCAAATTAACCCATTTGCTTGCTCTTCACAAAGTTTCAATCTTTATCACTTTTGTATCACACCACAAACATCACTTTGAGAAAAAAAAATGTCAGAATCTGAGGAAGAAAATCAAGATTTTCCTCCCAAAACAAAAACATCATTAGAAGAACATGGTTGTGCTATGGATTTTGATCTGGATTTAGAAACTTCATGGCCTTTGGATCACATGTCCTTTATCTCAAACCCTATGTCACCTTTTCTGTTTTCCACCATCTCTGATCAACCTTCCTCTCCTCTATGGGTTTTTAGTGATGGAGAAGATGACAAACATGCCAAAGTTGCTGCTTCAGCTTTCTCTGATTGCCACAAGATCTTCTCTTGTATGTTTTGTTTTGTTACTTTCTGATTGGTTTTCTGTTGACTTCAGTTTTGAAATTTTTATCATCTTTTGGACTTGCTTAATCCCAAGTTGACTGTAAATTGAACTGATTCAACCAATTTTTCTTTGTTTGATTTTAAAATGTAATATAAGCTATTTATAAAGTTTCATAATTTAGTCCATGCCATATGGTGCTGCTAAACATGTATATTTTGAAGTTTATAGGTGCTGCATTTCTTCTAACTAAAGCTACTATTTATTATTCAGGTGATTCGAATTCGATAACTGAGAAGCCAGTCGAGAATGATAACAAAACGTTTTTGCCGCCGCTGATGCCACCAATAGAAAATTTGGATGGATATTGTGCAATCAAGGAAAAGATGACACAGGCGCTTCGCTATTTCAAAGAATGGACTGAACTGAATATTCTGGCTCAGGTTTGGGCGCCGGTGAGGAATGGTAATCGGTATGAACTTACAACTTCAGGTCAACCGTTTGTACTTGATCCGCATAGTAATGGACTCAATCAGTATAGAACGGCTTCCCTGATGTACAAGTTTTCGGTGGATGGAGAGAACGATGGAACTCTAGGACTTCCTGGTCGAGTTTTCCAGCAGAAACTACCGGAATGGTCGCCTAATGTTTTGTATTATTCTAGTAAAGAGTATCCTCGCCGAGATCATGCTCAACATTACAACGTTCGTGGAACCTTGGCTTTGCCTGTGTTTGAACCTTCGTTGCAGTCGTGTATTGGTGTGATTGAGTTGATTATGACTTCACTGAAGATTAACTATGCTCCTGAGGTTGAAAAAATCTGCAAAGCCCTTGAGGTTGAGTTTCTTTCAACTTCACTTATCTAAGCTTTATGGTTTTTCTTATGTTTAGTGATTGATTACCATGTGATCTATAAACATACTCAATCACTTGCTTTTGGTTTCCTTTCAGGCCGTAAATTTGAGGAGTTCGGAAATTTTGGACCATCCATTTACTCAGGTATTTTTGTAGAGTTTAATTCATTGTAGGTGTAAAATAGTTTTACACTAACATAATTAATCATACTGCCGCATAAAATGATTTTGTTCCCACAGATATAACTTGGCAATGCTTTTAAACCAGATTTGCAATGAAGGGCGTCAAAATGCGTTATCCGAGATCTTGGAGATATTGACAGTGGTGTGTGAAACTCATAATTTGCCTCTCGCGCAAACATGGGTTCCCTGTAGGCATAGGAGTGTTTTGGCTCATGGTGGCGGTTTCAAGAAAAGTTGTTCGAGTTTTGACGGTAGTTGCATGGGGCAAGTTTGCATGTCTACAACTGAGGTAGCAGCCTATATCATAGATGCTCGTTTATGGGGTTTTCGAGAGGCATGTGTCGAGCATCACTTGCAACATGGTCAAGGTGTTGCTGGAAGGGCTTTTTTGTCCCAAAACATGAGCTTCTGCACAAACATTACGAAATTCTGCAAAACGGATTACCCTTTGGTTCATTATGCTCTCATGTTTGGGTTAACAGGCTCTTTTGCTATCTGTTTGCGGAGTTTTCATACGGGAAATGACGATTATGTACTAGAGTTTTTTCTGCCTCCTGCAATCACCGCATTTCATGAACAGAAGACACTCTTGGGATCTATATTGGCAACAATGAAACAGCATTTTCAGAGTCTTAGTATTGCTGTTGGCGTTGAACTTGAGGAAAATGGTCCAGTTGAAATCATTGAAGCAACAGGTGAAGGCATCCGTCTTAGAATTGAATCTATTCCAATTGCTCAAACTATTAAATCACCGCGTATACCCGATGCCTCGCCAAATATGGAGGAGGAGGAGTTACCACATGATCCATTAGAGATCCATGGTGAAAATGTAGGTGGAAGCATTGATCCGGTGTCCTCTTTAGGGAATAAAAACATAAAGAAACCCTCGGAGAGGAAACGTGGAAAAACTGAGAAATCTATTAGTCTTGAAGTTCTACAACGTTATTTCGCTGGGAGTCTTAAAGATGCTGCAAAAAGCCTTGGCGGTATGTTCATACTCTGATATATAGTGTGATAAAAATTTTATCTAAGTAGCACTGACATAGACAGGCTAGAACATGACACTGATAGCGGTAATAGTTTTCAAAATGGATATAATTGAATGGAACCACATGTGTCTGTGTTGGAATCCAGACACAGCTTAAATCTGATGTGTCGGTGTTACACAGATTATTATCCTTATGAGTCTGCTGCTAGCTTGAAACATATATTCATCCAAGATTAGTATGTGCTTTTGCAAAAACAAAAGAAAAAATCTAAGGTTAATAATTCAAAATGAAGACTACTAAAATCATCAAAACATAACACATTGTATCTTTATAACAAAACTAGTAGCAGCACTTTATCAAAGAAACGTGAAAGAAAGTAGTAGCTCTAACACAGTTCTTGGATATGTTCTTGTTATACAGTTTGTCCTACTACAATGAAGCGCATCTGCAGGCAGCATGGTATATCCCGTTGGCCATCTCGAAAGATCAACAAGGTTAACCGTTCCCTGTCAAAGCTCAAGCGTGTTATTGAATCTGTGCAAGGGGCTGAAGGGACGTTTGATTTGAATTCTCTCAACGCTAATCAACTTCCAGTTGCTGGTTCTTTTCCCGACCATTCTACTCCGAACAAGTCCAGCCAGCAAGCTTCATTAAACATTAGTCCATCAGAGCCTCAGATGAAAGAAAATGAATTTTATGCCCCTAAAGTATTAGAAACAAACATACCAATTGTAATGGAAGATCAATTGCTTGAAGGAAGGAAGCACGGTCTTGGCAAGGACCGAAAAAGGACTCGAAGTAGGAGTATCTCAAGCGAAGATAGCATAAATCCTACTTCCCATGGTTCATGCCATGATAGTCCCCCAAACGAAATTTCAACCATAAAAGATCCATTCATTCCATCCAACAATGATCAATATGTTGTGTTGAGGGGATCGCCAGAGTCAAGAATGCAGCCAACTTATGCATTCAACTCTCCAACTGCTCACCGTTTGCCTGACAATATCTTAGCAGAACTTCAAGAGCCGTTTGGAGGAATGCTAATAGAGGATGCAGGTAGTTCAAAAGACTTGAGAAACTTGTGTCCTTCAGTGGCTGAGGCCATTTTGGAGGATCTAGCTCCAGAGCCTTATGGGAATAACCTTCCATGTTCATATCTGGCTCCTAAACAATGCATGGAAGCTACTAATAAATCAGTGACGCCTTTCGCAGCTAGAAAAGAAATGAAAACTGTGACTATCAAGGCAACATATAGAGAAGATATCATAAGGTTTAGGGTCTCTTGGAACTGTGGCATTGTGGAATTGAAAGAGGAAGTTGCCAAAAGATTGAAACTTGAGATTGGTACATTTGATGTCAAGTACATGGATGATGATAATGAATGGGTTTTGATTGCCTGTGATGCAGACCTGCAGGAGTGTATGTATGTTTCAAGATCATCGGGTGAAGGCAAGATAATTCGGGTTTTGGTGCATGATGTAACGTCGAATCTTGGAAGCTCGTGGGAGAGTTCGGGGGAGTGACAGGGTCTCTGTACATAGATTCAGTTTGTAATCTATTGATTATTGTTTAGGTTCTTGTGGTCTTTACTCTTTAGGAAGATAGGTGAAGAGAATTTATTTTTGTTAAGAAATGCTCAAATTGTAAGTTTAAGATTAGATATAAAGAATTTTCACTATATTGAGTATTTGGTATCACTCAAAAGTATAGTTCATTAGGATAAAAAAAATAAAAAAATAAAAACTGGGACTAATTTGGTGATACATAATGTGGTCATGTTTAAAAATTATGATGATATAACAACTTAATGGACAGATGGAAGCAGATGTCAGATGGAAAAACGTTTGATTTAACACGTTTTTATGGCTCAACTCATCTAATGCTCATTGAAGAATAATCATATAGAACAAATTTTGATCAAACCATTTAAATCTGTTTCTTTCTTTTTTGATTTTCCATGTAACTGTTAAGTTATAAGTACAGCCGGGGAGAATCAGCCATCAGCAACTCAGCAACGTGACAAAAAAAATTTGTTGCCCTCCAAGTATCAAGTATTGAAAAAAAAGATTATTTCGTTTTAAAATAATGGAGTAATTAATTAAATAATATAATTAAAAAAATTATTATTTTTATATTAAAAAATGAGGATGATATTTAATATAAAACAAACAAATTTTATTTATGACAATTATTTTAAAATGAGGGAATAAAATTTATTAGGCTTAATTTACCATAAGATTTCTGGCCGAGTTCAGTATATCCGTATTCCCCGAACTTTTTCATAAAATAAACCACCCAAAAATATATTTGCCCCAACATTTGGAAGCACAACTAAATATACACTAGAATTGAACATACATGTAGGATTTGAGACAAACATCTTCGTATTTTTGGGGGACAGAGATTTTAGACCACTTGTACAAGAATGACCGCCTCACCTCAATCAATTTTTTTTAGCATCCTAATCAGTAATAAATGGGTTTTTTTGGATTAAACCAAAATCTTCGTAGTTCTGAAGGACAAACAAAGATTTTAGACCTCTTATTCAAGAAATTTTAAGGCATCCTAAATTCCGATTTAAGGCATCTTACCTCATTCCATTTTTTTAAGGCATCCTAAATTCCAATTTATTTGAAAACAAAATTAAAATTTTTAAATAGAAGTGAAAAAAGGTTCAATTTATATTACATTAATTTACATCCGTGCAAGTTATATATAAAGTTATTACAAATCACAATTGTTAACTAATAAAAGCAACAATGAAAAAACAGACTATTTTTGCTATTATGAAAAATGTAGATCAAAAGAAGAGCAGTAATTATTCATTTTTAAAGCAGAGCACAATAACCTACCAAATTTTAAAGTAAGCTCTAAGAGATTAGTTCTACTTCTACCATACACTTACTCTGGTGATGTACATTTATTCCACTTTAACCTAAAATGAATTTAGTGACAACACTTAAAAAGTTGTAAGGGCAAATGTGTTATTTATAAAGGGATGTGAGATACTGTGTATTGTGTATATTTATTCATGATTAAAAAGGAATGAGGAATAAAGTGTGCATATTTTTATAGATTGTGTCTCTTAAAAGAGGCGGAATAATTATTTTTTTAAAGGATAGTTAATTTATCTTATTTGACCTGCAAATGTAAGAAACATTTAAAAAAATATAATTTCATTTCAGTCAATTTAATTTCGGCCAAGCTAAAAGCACTTATATCTTTGCATTATTTAAAACCCTACTGTACCATTCATCAAATGAAGGCTGTTGCATCATTCATACACAATAAAATTTATTTGAAAACATAGAAATCATACGAAGGCTCTTCATTCATACACAAATAAAATTATTTGAAAACATGGATATCTAAAGGAAAAAAGAACTTCAAAATGTAAAGCCATAAAAATCATTATATATCTAATGATACAAAAAAAAACACAAGATTATACTAAGTTCCATTGCAAAAATGATTAACTCATATGTCTCGGCTAAACAAATAACATTCGTTCTAACCATAAAAACTTAAGAAAATTGAAGCAAATGAAAACAAATAACAGTGTCCCAACATGTAAAAACCCATTACAAAACAAACAAAACCTATTTCTTCTTGTCTCCAGCTCCACCAGCCCTGCACAATGGAAATACCTCAATAAGAACAAATCATCACCAACCATAACACAATTCAGGAAAGATTAACAAAATAAATTACATAGCATCACAGCATAAAATTAACAAAAGAAAATAAGACAAACCTCATCTTTCTTAGAACATTGGACATCTCCTCTCTCTTCTTCTTGGCGCGCTTGTGGGTTCCAAGCTTCCTCTTAGCAACTTTCAAAGCCCTCTTGTCCTTCCCAACCTTGAGCAACTCAGTGATACGCTTCTCATAAGGTGCAAATCCAGCTACCTCCCTAATGAGATTCCTCACAAAGTGTACTCTCTTGCTTGTTTTCTGATTGAAACCATCACTTATTTAGTCTCATATAGATTTACAAAATTAAGAACAACATCAACAAAATATCATCTTAACAATTGACTTTCAACTACAGACTTCAAAAAGTTTGATACAACTGAAACTAAAATCTTTTGAAGAACGGATAATGATTCTTCTCACATCAAAAGTTAAATCTAACATACAATAGATTATAAAAAATGGTCAACATAAATTTCAAAATTCATAAAATGATAAATTAGGTTTTTCTATAAAAACAGTTACTACGGATGCTAAATACAATCACTATAGTGGATCATATTATGACTTTAATTAAACTATTTACAATCTAAAGAAATGGAATCGTGAGACTGAAAATCAAACCGCAGAGAAAAATCTTACCCCCTTGCGAGCTGAAGGACGTGGAGCCAATTCCTTCTTGGTGACGATGTGACCCTTGTTCAATCCAACGAAAAGACCCGTGCTGGGTTGTTTTGGAGCCATCTCTCCTGTACCAGATTCAAAAAAACGAAATTGAGACTTGTTGTATGGTGTTAATACGTAATAAGATCTATGAGAAATGATGAAGACGAGACATAAGATTGAGATCAACAACGATGTAGAACAAGAATGAAAGGGATATCGTTTACCTCTCGCGCCGATGATTTTCAAAACCCTAACACCAGTGTGTGCTGTTAGAGAAGAAACTAAACTAGGGTTCTTGAAGAGACTGCTTCCGGTTTTTATTGCAAATAATTAAGTCGGGTCGTGGGTTCGTTAGCGGATGGGCCAGCATCGGCCCATTAATGTTTTTTCTCTTGTGTTTAAGAAAGTAAGTAGGAACATTTACCCTATTTTTTCTTTTCGAATCGAGTTTTAAAAATAGGGATTTAATGTATTTATTTATTTATTTATATTTTGTATGTTAGTTATTTTAAAAAATTACAAATATTTATTTAATATGATTTGAATGAATGTATATTTAAAAAATTATATTATAGTTATATAAAGACATTATTTTTAAAAATAAGTGTGATATAGTAGATTTTTATTCAACGTTAATGTATCGAGTCATTTTTGGTCAAGAATATGTATATTGGTTTGATTAAGACAAATGAAAACATTGACTATAGCTGAAATAGAATTTAGAAAATGGAAGTCCAATACCGATTTAGAAAACATGATAGATTACTTACAAACATTAACAAAAATCTGAAAGGATTAGGACGAGCTGATTGTAAGTTGTGTCGTGGTGTTAGGGAAACAAATTTGCATGCTTTAAGGGATTTTCCAAAAATAGTGCTTCTTTGGAGGAATAAAGTGTCTGGAAAAAAAATTAAATTGGAGTTCTTCTCTATGGATCTGAATGCTTGGATTAAGTTGAATTTGAGATAAAGTAGTAGTTGGATTAGCTTCTGGACGATTGGTTGCCATAGTTTATGGTATTGGCGTAACATGGAGATGTATGATATGAATTACCATAGACCATCATTTTTGGGGATCTATATTCAAAGAATGGTGGATGAATATAGGGAAGATATGAAGAATAATGGTGTGGTTGCTCGTGCCGATAAGGCAGTGGTTATGATTGGATAGAAGTCTCTAGAAGAAATTTGGGTCAAGCTTAATCTGATGGAGCTTGCATGGTTGGAAGAATGTTAGGTTGTGAAGGTATATTACATGATATACATTGTGCTGGTAAGGGTGGTTTTTAAAAATATATCGGAGAATGTAATGCCATTACAGCGGAATTATGGGAAATATTTGAAGGGTTATCCCTTATGAAGAAGTTTGGATTTCAAAAAGTATAGTTGAATATTGATTCCTTGAGTATTGGTAGAATGCTTGAATTGGGTAAAGATTCAGTTATGGTGGGAAGCTCAATGTTTAATTGGATTTTATGTCTTATGGAGATGCATGATTAAGTGAAACTTATTCATTCTTATAGGGAAGTGAACACGTGTGCGGACACATTAGCAAAAGTTGGTGATGAGCGTGTAGTAGATTTAGAATTTGGAGTTCATTTTCCATATTTCATTAGACAAATTGTTATTTTAGATGGTTTAAGATCTTTTGTCCTTATATTGGTTTCATTGTATTCTTTTCATTCTCTTGGGCCTTAGCTCTCTTTACTACCCAAAAAATGGTTTGGATTATGACTGTAATGGGTCAGTTTTGTTTATTTATTTATTTATTTGAGATAATATGATTGACAATAAATTCTACCAACTCAAAAATAGTTTGAGACTTAATTTGATAATTAACTTATTAAACTTAATTCATTTTCCAACTTATCTAATTTTATTTTGGTATAAAATAAAATTGATTGAGAAGTAAGAATAAAGATGTTCAAGTTAATGTTGAACACAATGTAAATATCCAATCATATTTTGAGTTACATGTGTCAGTTTAAAATGAAACGGTCTCCATTTTAAAATGACTGAAGTGAAGGAAGATAACACTTAGGTTATGTTTGCATATTATAAAATAAATAGAGCCAAATGAAGTGGAGTGAAGTGGAATGAAATAAATATTTATTCTGTTGTTTGGGTATTTTATGACAGAATAAAGCAATATTGTCATTTCCTCCAAATTGAAGAGTACAAAAAATGATTGAAAGTGATGGAATGCATTCCATCTGGTTCCATTTCATTTTATCTTTTTCTTAATGTATTCAAACAATCGAATATAAATTTATAGCATTCAATTTCATCTCATTACATCAATACAAACATACCCATAAGGGGTGAATACACCCATGAGTATGTTAGCTATATTTTTAACTAATAGATCATGTTCAAATTTAGGTTAATTTCTCACCCGTTAAAGTCTCGGCAATCTGAGCCTAGTAGTGGAAAGACGGTTTAACATATTTGCTTTCCCTATAGTCACAAGAGAGAAATTTTGCGCACCCTTTATGGACCATTGGATGACAAAGTCATGTGATTTATTGACAAATGTCCTCTAAGGGAAGTGTCCCTTAAATAAGTTATAGTGCCTCAAATTCTTCAGGCCTACTATACAAAGCTAAAAGGAATATTCATATCATGTACACAAACCTAAAAAAACCTCACACTTATGGTTGTCACTGACTTGAGCAGCATAATATTTGCGTGCACACCATTCATCGTCATACCATAGTAGAAGACTTTATCAAGATTCATTGTTATATCTTTATTTAACAATAACCAGTGGTGAGGAATGCTTGTTCCTAGATTGTTTGGTGTCATATGCATGAAACCACTATTACATAATACACATATCATAACTGTTGGAAAAGGGATACAACCACATATGACCAACCGTTGCGAGGTAGGATGTGATTGTATGTATGATGTTTTCTGCCACGGGCCTTGGACCGTTGTGATAAGCTAGGTAGTGTGTTATATATCACAACGGTCAAGATATACAATTGTTGTGATATTAAGCGATTGGTCATGGGTTCGAAACCCATTGAATGTATGATTAATAATATTATGTGCACTATCTATAACAACAATTGGTATAGATAATTGTGATTTAATGCTTTTTATTTTATTTTTTCATATATTGCAGACTTGTATATTACATTTATTTTTTCAAATCAGTATATTACAAACACACACATATAAATATATCAAATTAACCATTACAAATACCACCACCCTTTTTTTCAACAAACTCGTTAAAAATAAGTGCTCAACGTCTATGGACTTTGTCTAAGTCTTCGGAAGAGAAATGTGTCTTGTCGTTAGACGTCTACATAAATAAGTGAAAAAAATTGAATATCACATTATTTGAATTATAATAGAAAATTAATATGTTTTTGAAAACATTTAATGAAATTATATACCTGATCCCACGAATCAATAATACCGACAGAGACGATGGTAAACATGTGTTTCATTACATAGTGCATACATTTGTATCCCTTTACCTGTCTTTTTGTCTAAAAATTTACACAAATCATGAATATATAACCACACATGTGTTTCATGAATATACATATACATATGTGTGTGTGTGTGTGTGTGTGTGTGTGTGTGTGTGTGTGTGTGTGTGTGTGTGTGTGTGTGTGTGTGTGTGTGTGTGTGTGTGTGTGAATGTCACAATCAATCCACTTATTTTGAGCACACAAAATGCGAGCTTTTTTCTAAACTTGTTCAACCTATACTGCCTCTCAACAACCCTGTATATTGAAAATTCAAATACTTTAAAAATATTACACACTAATTACAAATTCAAAGATAAAATTTCACAAAAAGTCTCGTAAATTTATACCTAGTAATAATTTGTTTCATCATAGGATCAAGTTGTTTGTGCAACAAACATAGCGTAGTTACCATATTCGTCCAAAGAGATGTGATGATTAATTGATAATGTTCTTTGAATGAGGAATACAAACATATATAATTAGTATTCAGTAAAACATGAAAACTAAATATATTAGAGAAACCATAATTTTAAAACTACTCACTTAGTGAGAAATGGTGCTAAAAATTTTCTCATTTGTTATCTGTGATGTTAAGTATTCTTCAATATTTTTAGCGGAATTACTTGTAAATCGTAATCCACAAGTATCTGGTTTATGTAATCCTATGAAGGATGAGAAACACGAGAAAAGGGAGTTTGAATTGAGTTTCACATTTTGTCCCCTTTTGTGAAATTATAATAATAAATATAACAATGACAATAAAAATTAATGACACAATTATTTTTATTTTGGTTCACTGTTAACGAAGTTACTCCAGTCCACATTCAAGGTGATTTCGCCTTATCACGAGGACTTAATCCAATAATCTTCAACGATTACAACCACAATGGATACCTTCCATTGCCTTCTTGAGAATCATGGCATTCATTCGCCTCTCAAGGAATCAACCTCCAAGCCGTCAATAACGACTTGCCCCTCAAGCATTCTGGTCATCACTCGACCGTTCAAGGAACAACATCCATTAGTTGTTAGAAACACATTTAGCCATCTCAAGCTTTCTGGTCATCACTCGACCGCTCAAGGAACAATACATTTTTCAAGGATTTTCTTGTACGCTAATATGTTTCTTACAAGCTGATTACACAGATGAAATACATGAACATCTAAGTGTTTCTAAGCAAGGTATGAGAAATAACTTATTGCTTTCTAATACAGAAAACTATATAAAGAATGAATCTCTGAGAGATTATAAAACATTAATTTTGTATTGCTTATAAGCTTTCTTGATGAGCATTAAGGCTTCTTTTCATGAGCTCTTAGCTTCTTTTGATTAACTCTTTCTTGAGTGAATAATACTTCTTCTAGTTTAACCATCAAGATCGACTAAGTTACTATGCTTCACTTATTGATGTTTCACTTGACTAGTTTCACATGGCTTCAGCATGTTGCATCATTATACGCACTTCAATTTTGCTTCAGCTTCATCTTCATTGAGCATTCTTCATTTAGGCTTCAGCTTGTAGCATTTTCTTATGCACTTCGACTTTGCATAGTAGCATGATATCATCAGCAACTTGCTATATATGTTTTG